CGTCATGGCGGGAAACGTGACGAAGGAGCTGGAACACAGCGTTTGGTAGTTGACAAGAAGGATGCTTACTCCGCCAAAGGCAGGGCGATGCGTTTTCATTATGTGACCATGAGATGGAAAAGCAAAGTCTATGCAGGAGCTGCTGCTAGCGCGAACAAAACAATAGACAACGATGAAAAAAGGCAAGATGAAATCAGAATGCCGCCCCGTGGCAACCAACAGAAACAAAACGCAGCGCAGGCTCGCAGTAGGCCGCCCAAATCGCTCTATACATCACCACATCCCAGCCCAGCTGCCCCCACGTATCCTTGACCCCATACCCAGCATCACCACCCACCATGCCACCTCCCTCACCCCCTCACCCCAGCCAGATACCCAAAAGTCCTCACCTCAACCCCCCCAAAAGCCCCTCCAGCCCCGGCACGCCCACCACCGCGGCCAACCCCTTCCCCTCCTCCGCCTCGCACCGCCCGACCTCAATAACCGCAGCAATCAGATCCTTGGTAATCTGATCCCCCACCACACTATCCTGCTTATACTCGGGGTGCTTCGCCACAAACTCCCTGATCCAGGTGGCGGCAGTGATCAGCTCGCCGCTGGCACGCTTCCGGATCAGGCTCAGGTACGTAGCCAGGTGGCAGCGGGTGGCGACATCGACGTTGACCGAGTCGAGGTAGCTCTCGACGAGGGGGATCAGGCCGGGGAAGTCGTCCTCCTCGTCGTCGTCACTGGCATGGCCGTCGTCGGCCGGTCTGGCTGGGTTGGCGGCGGCGTAGGCGGTGCCGTTGATGATTTCATTGATGCTCATGAGGCGGTACTCGTCCTCGACGGGCCCCGTGGGGGTGGGCGGGCGGCTGATGGTGCTCGGGGTGGAGGCGCCGGAGCCGGAGCTGCGGGCGGTGCGGGCGGGCGGGAACAGGTTGCGGCGGAAGTAGAACTTGCGCGAGAGCACGGCGTCGCGGGCGTGGGCCGTCTCCATGTTCTCGTCGACCTTCTTGATGGGGATGTAGAAGTTGAGGTTGTAGCTGAGGATGACGCGCGTGACGAGCACCATGAAGACGGAGAAGGCGGCGTTCTCGAAGTCGGTGATCTGGATCTCCATGGGCCGGAACTCGACGCGCCACCCGATGCTGTTATCGGCCGGTGGCGGCTTGAAGCGCATGTGCTGCCAGTTGGTGCTCTGGATGTTCTCGAAGTGGTCCGTCTTGTTCATGTCGAGCTCCTTCAAGTCTTCCGAAAAGATGACAATGGGATCGCGGATGAAGAGGTGGGCAAAGTGCGTGGCGAGCCGGTCATCCATGCCACCGTCGAGGAGCTGCTGCTTGATGTTCTCGTCAATGACGAGGTCTGGGTCAAAATACTCGGGCCGCAGCCGCGAGTCCTCGGAGATGTACGTCGAGTTGGAGGCGTATCGCGACTTGGGTATCCGCCAGCGGTCGTTCGCGAGGGGCTGCCCCCTTGGTTAGCACGTATTCGATGACCTGGGGACATTACACTAGGTTACTCACCGCCTCTCCCATCTCTCCGGGAGTCCGGTCATCGACGGCGTTGCCAATCTGGTTCCACCTGACATCCGTGTCGGCGAGGAAACCCTTATAGATGGGCGTTGCGGCCGTCAGGGCAAGCATGATGGGCCCGAGCGGGCTGAGTTGGTCGTACATCTGCCTTCCCTCGGTCAGGTTCTTCGCCTGGAACGTAATCTGCAAGCAGCAGCTTCCCATGCCAAATGCCATGGCATCCATGTGAATGAAGTTGTCGGGCGCAGCGCCGTTGCGGACATCGTCGTCCTCGGGCCACTGATGAAGGTCGAAGTTGACGGTTGGGTCGCGCCACGGCCAGGGGGTCTGCTCGTCTCTGAAAACCGGCACATTCACCTGCACCTTCCGCCCACGACGAGAGCGGATGTTGGCTGCGAGCGTGGGGAACCGAATATGAGGGTTTGCGATCTCGTCCGGGACAAACTGAGACCTCAGTTTAGACCCTGAGACCGGGTAGAAGGGGTTAGTGAAGACCCCTGGGCTGCCTAGCCTTGGGAAGGTCGTCAATGTGATGGGGTATTCGTCCGGGAGCATGTGGTCTTTGGCGATACGCCTCCTGTGGTACCGATTAGGCCAGGCCGTACGGTGTCGGGGTGACTAGGTAGCCATACCTCAGCTTCATGTCCGGCTCGACCTCCAAGAGCTCCTTGAATTCTATTCCCCAGGGTTTCCCGGGAGTGGCCTCGAGCATGAACCTCCCAAACTCGGGGTGGAACACCGGAAGTGGCTGGTTGGCCCTAGAACACAGGTGAGTCCTGTGGTCTCCTGGTGGTTACTGTGTAGTCTTACTGTGGACCGGAGCCATTGGGAGCATTGCCCTCCTGAGAGAGTCCCTTGTCGCTGGCCAAGGCCTCAAGGATGCTTGCTTGTCTCAGGGACAGCAGAACTCTAGGGTCATGTTGGGAGTAAGTTACAACCAAGTACTCGACCTATGCAAGAAAAAGGGACGTTAGAAGGTGATCCAGATACTGCGGGTTGGAACAGGCTTACCTCATCACCCCAGAGCATAGCATCCCGCTCCTTGCCCTTGGCTTTGTTCCATATTTCTAGCAGTTGCTATGCCATAGATGGTCAGCCATGTCCCAGAGCATCGCCGGCAGATGTGAGGTCAAGATAAGGTTAAAGTCAGGGATCTCCCTCACCTTGATTCCCCAGGATCTGACCAAATCGGCCTCCTTTTTGGCAGCTGGCCAATCCAGAGCCGTTCCCAGAGCCCTTCACGCCAGGTATCAGTATGGCGTGATTGCCCAAGAGATGGTGCCATCTTGCGGAGACGGGTTGTCCGCGCCCGCGAAGACGGAGGAGGAGGAAGAATACGTACAAGAGACCCATTGTTTCTCACAAGCCCTCTGCCCCGGATAGGCTTCACGGGTCGTGTCTGCTTGTTTACGGGCCCAAAGATAGGCTAGATGTGCCGCGTGAGATGATATTGCCGATGCCCCTTTCGGCGACGGTGGAAAAACACGGCCCAGTCGAGGATATGCGAGCGTCCCAAGGCGTCAACTCTCGGAACACCTGCGGCAAGCTTGAGAGCCAATGGCTGGCCGAGTAGCGGTAGAAAATAGCCAATTATGACAACTAGACTGAAGATCTCGGTTGAAATGCCTGCCGGTGGCACCGAAGCTGAGTCTACCACGAAGAATGATATCTGTTGTTGGATTGGGGGGTAGTGAGAGCAGATCGTTCGTTGGTGAGTTGATGATTTGATGATGGGACCTCCCTCGACTTCCGGTCTAGCCTGCTTCTCTTCCCACGCTCGTTCTCTTCACCCTCGCTCACACCAGCTCTCACACGGGCAATGGATGAGCCAATTCGTCTGGGGTTGCACCCCACGCTGGCAGCCTCGCAGCTGCAGGGATTCTTGGCGTGCAGGCACGAATCAGATATTATGAGGCCGTCGAAAAGGTAGTTGGCGCGAAGGCGTCATCCAGAGCACGCAATCGTTCTATGCCTGGACTGGGCCAGCTGTTTACGGCGGGGCTCAAAGAAAGCCACAGGTCCCAAAGGGTTGGCGAGCGGGATGTGTGCGTGCGAGAGGGTGGGTGTGGGTGCCGCTAACGAAGGTAGTAAAGTATATAGCCGAGCAACCTGGCAGCCTGGTTCAAAGGATGTTGGCTTGGCTGACTTGGTTGGCGGGGAAGGCGATACTTTTTTTCAAAAGTGGAAATCCCGGGTATAAGTGGGAAATATGTTGGTGTACGCTTGCTATTTCGTTGTTTCAGTTGTTGGGATGGAATCATATAACTCCCCTCAGGACTGTGGGGATGAAGGTAGCACCTGGATGGAGGTGAGTGATTCGAAATGCCGCGGGGTTTAGTAATGCTCCTCTTTCCCTCTCTCACGAGGCAGATTCGAAAAGGGCCTGTAAATTTTCAATTTTCGCAACCGAACGGAAGTCACCTCCCCCAAACGGAGAATGGGTTCCGGTCGCGGGGATCAAGTGAGGCCGACGGGGAGTTTTTTCTTCAGTGCTACCACCGTTGTTAAGCTTCACTTTGTGGAGCCAAGAGTCTCGGCCCTCGGGAGTGCCGTTCTCCCCCAGAAATCGACAGGGCATTGCTGCCGCGTAAGGGCAAAATTTCCATCTCGCCCTTGCGGGTACAGGGAGACCTAGGCGGGACGAGAGGGGGATCCTGACAGCGTGAGCGTGGGTCTTACGGGTCTTCAATGCTCGTTGATTAGAAATCCACTCTCTTGACCCTCGACATGCCACAGAAAACGTGCCCCTTCGGCTTGTACGAGCCGTGATAGCGCGGCGCTTCAACAATTGTGCTGTGTTGCATCCTGCAGCTGACATGCAGAGGGCGCGCGATGTATGATTTAATGCGACGAGATGCGGGCTCTTTATGCGGCATATCCCTCACTCCAACGGCGAGGTTGCGTCTTCGACATGTGCTGCGTGCCCCGCTCAGGAACGAGGGGCAACACCAACTTTTTGGTTGCACTGGGACCGATAAGATAAATTTGGGAAGAGCCATTGCATCTAAGTACCCTAACCCTGGGTTTATGATGGTCAGCCAAACAACAGTCTTGGCTGTCTTTTTCTCTCCGAGACACACCAGGGACCCCGAGAAGCATTTGTAATGGTCTTGAGAGGAATTAAGAAAGGTGCCAACTCATCCATACTATTACATACAGGGTACTTTGTACTAACTAACTCGTCTACAACTCAGGCATGGCAGGGTATAACACCAACGCCGCAATATGCTCCCACATTTCTCCCCCTCTCCTCTTCAACTTCTCAAAAGACCCAACCAAACGCCTTTCCATGCATTTGTATGCATCTGTATGTCATGCATGTGACAAATCCTCTAACAACCCAACCAAGTAAAGGAAAGAAAAGGAGAAAAAAAAACACAAAACGAAGAGGGAGGTATGCTGTGCGTTTTCTCCCAGGAACGAGAATAATAACAAGAAGGAAAAAAAAAACGGAACAAAACGGAAGGAGATCAAAAAACGGTATGTGTCAGCAACCATGGAAACCCCAACCACCTCAAACCCAACCCAACCCCATCCCCCCCCCTCACCTCACCTAACATCCAAATACAGATCCTCCCCCCTGCGCGTCGGCGTCAGCTCCGGCATCCACCCCGGCGTAACCGGCGGCGGCGGCCCGTAACCTTCCTCATGCACCACATCCTCCCTCATCCACCCCTTCTTCCCTGCTGCTGCTGCCCCCTGCCGCCGCTCACCACCACCACCACCACCACCACCACCCCTGGCACTAGCACTGGCACTCTTACCAACCAGCGTCAACGCCGCCGCCTTGTCCGCGCCGCGCCGCTTTGCGAGAAGCTGTGAGCCCTGCATGGGCACGGATGCAGATGTAGATGTGGATGGCTGGGTTCCTGGGGCTGCGCGCTGGTGTTGGTATTGCTGCTGCTGTTGCAGCGAGGGCTGGGGCCGTGGTGGTTGGATGTGTGGTTGTGGGGTGGCGGCTGGGGTGGGTAGCTGTTGTTCTGGGCGCGGGCAGATTTGTGATTGCGGTTGTTGTTGTTGCTGTTGTGGTGTGCCGTAGCGCCGGGTGTTGTTCTCGCCGGGGAGTTCGTAGGGCGGTGTTGGTGGGGGTGGTTGGTGTTGGGGGTGCTGTTGGGGGTGGTAGGAAGGGCGTTGTGGTTGTTGTTGTTGTCGGGCTCGTGAGGGCTGGGGTTGGGATTGGTTCCAGTAGGATGCTGGGTTGGCGATCTGCCGCTGGTGTTGCCAGTATTGGGCTTCGGCCATGGAGGAGGCCGGGCCTGGGCGCACCTCGGGCGACCCGGTTCGGAGTTGCCCCGGGTTGCGGTGCGCGGTGGAGGTGGGTCTCAGGTTTGGTGCATTCCATGGCTTCACAGGCCCGTTGCTCGACTGAGGCATGGCTGGGTTGCTAGTCTTGGACTTTGGCACGGATCCCGCGCCATGGGAGCTGGGTTGCCCGGCCGGGTGCCAAACGTTGTATCGATGCGCTGAAGGGAGCAGGTCGGATTCCGCTGCCTTCTTCGGCGGCGGGGACATCTGTGTCCTGTCGTGTCTGGGTATCCTGGGGTATTTGACAGGTGACTTCCCGGGGGAGATCGGAGTCTGGGGAGACTCGGCCACCGGCGACAGGTCCGCCTGGGCTTCGTTTTCATTCACGTCCTCTTCCATCGCCGACTCGATCGATGTCGCCGAGTCTTGCGATATCCGACGGCTAACTCTCTTGGTGGCCGAACGCCGCTTGTTCCCCACGCCGGTCAAGTCCCTGCTCTCACGCATTATCGTGAAGTAGGCATCTGCTGACCGGCCCCCGGTCTGCGACGATTCGCTTATAATGGTCTCCGCGGTCTGGGATAGTCTTGCGGACATGCTGGGGCTCGTCAGCTGTGGCTCCCGGCGTCTATCTTGAAACGCAATCGGAGAACCCAGCCTTCCGTTCCCTGGCTTCCGAGGAAGCCTAAGCGGCGAGACCAGAGCCTCCGGCGAGAACCCACCATAGGCGTCTTTGGCCCTCTCAGCCCTTGTTTTGTGGTCCGGGCTTGGTAGCTCAACCCCGGCGGGTGCTGCGGAAGTCTCCTGGGTAGTTGGCCTTGGAGGTTCCGGCACTCCTCGAGAGGTCTCGGCTGCCGGATTCCGTTGTGATGTGTTACGGAGGATCCAGTTGCCCCCCTTGTCGGCAAAGTAGAATGTTGTTGCTGATAGGGGATCTGATGTTGGCGGGCGCCAGATGGCGGTTCCAGGCGCAACATCGGCCTCTCCATCCTCAGCAAACTCGGTCACCACGCTGTCCCTGGAGCTGGCCGGCACCCGGGGAGTTTGCTCCGGCCGTTTTGGTATGGCGAGCGTCAAGGTCGGTTTTGGTGGACTGCGTTCTGCCACTGGTACTTTAGGTCCGGGCGCAGGGCTCAAAACAAACTTTGGCACGCTTTGCTGACTTCGCTGGGCCGGAGTGGGTGTGGGTGCGGGCGCTGGTACCGGCGTGGGAGCTGGTACCGGTGTTGCAGAGACTGACGCTGGCTTTACGGGAGGAGTAGGCGGGCGAGAAGCAGCAAGCACGGAGGCCAGAGCTGGTGAAGGCCGCGCCAACACTCCGCCCCGAGCGGTGAGCGGCGAGATGGCCAGGCCGACGCCTCCCTGCTGCATACCCGGCCGCACACTCGGCTGCCATCGCGGGTCTGCTGGGTTTCGCGCCACTCGGACCTGAGGCAGCGGGCTTGAGATGTCAAAGCCCGTAGGAGCACTGCCGGGGCGTCCGCTCTTCCCGAAGCTCATCGAGTCCCTCATCCTCGAGAACCCAGCCTCCAAATCACCGAACCTCTTCTTTCGGATGCATCTGGCGAGTAGCACGAGCAAAATCCCAAACACCACGACAGCGGCGCATCCGAGCGCGATGCCGGCAATCTGCGCGCTGGTGAATTTCGGCTGATCCTGTGAGGCCGCCGCGCTTGTGTCGGCGGTGGGCGTAGTGGATGCCGAGGTTGTTGGCGTTGTTGCCGTAGCCGTAGTCGAGCTCGACTCCTCTCCCGGTGGGAGGCTGGCGGTCGAGGTGGGAGTGGCCGTTGGCGTGACCGCTGGTTCCGTGCTTGTCGCCGTCTGAATTTCCGTCGGTACGAGCAACGGCCCTTTTCCTGACGGTGCGACCACGAGAGTGGCCACGATAGTCGAGTGCGTCTTGGGTTCCGCGCGCGACACACCTACACACATGTTATAGGCCGTAGACGTCGCGTCGGCTATTGATTGTCAGCGCGGGGCTCAGGTCCAGGGGTCCCTTTTTCTTTCTTGATTTACTTACCGATCCCATCCTGTCCCTGGCAAGCGCCGAACCTGCTCTCTCCAACCAGGCACGACGCCGCCCCTTCCCCGATGGTGTATCCAGAGTTCCCCCGCTGCCGGCACAGGCATTGCAAAGCAGGTGAGTTGCCGCAGACGTCGCCGTCGAAGTTTGCTGATATGAAGGACTCGAAGCACTTCTGGGCGCAGGCCGGGACGAAGTTCAGGATCTCGGGTGAGATATTGGCTGTTTGGGCGGTAGCAACGGCGAAAAGTGTCGTCCATATCGCGAGGCATAGTAAGGACAGCCGGAATGCCATCCTCCCGAGCAACATCTGATAAAGGATGTCAGTCGTCAAGCTCAGGGGGCGTGCCGTTGCTCCCTTGTAGCAGTGTTTGTTCGCCGCACCTCGAAGTGGAGTTCAGTCCATCTGCACTCAAGAGTCTTGAGGATGTTGAGCCACAATAGGGTCCCTCAATGGGCCGGATAATGAGGGGGTGATAGAATAGATGGTAGGTTCTGAAAACAACAGAGGCCAAGGCGGGAGGCCTTCTGGTAGAGACCGTGGGTGGCCTCGGCGGCCGAGGAGGCAGAAAGGGCAGCGAAGCGGCCGACCTATTTGGGCCCTAGAGTTTAAACATTAAAGAGAGATGACCAGCATCTCTCACCGGAGCGGTATGAGTCTACTGAAGCGAGGGCGGCCGCAATGGCAGAAACGGGTGAGGAAAGATGGGTGAGTCGCGTTGACTTCGACAGCAACACCACCAAACAATTACACGGATCGTATCCAAGACAAGGGGGACCAACTCCCAAGAAAACGTGAAACAAGAGAAAAATGCTACACCACAAAGTTCAAGCAAGGAAAAAAGATGTGACGAGGGAAAGAATTGGAGGGGTGGCCGTTGATGACGGCCATGCAGTTCTTTTTCTCTGTTGCCGCCGTCTTCGACCACCGGTGGCTCGCCCTGCGCTTAATGACACAAGCTCTCCCATCGGCAACCATACACATCACGGTGCAGTACAACGAGCATGCCCACCGCCCCTCTCCCCAGCCGCGGAGCCCGCATTGCCGACGAACCGCGCCCGATGCGTCATTCCCACTGCTGGACGCAAGGTACAAGCCCCAAAGCTGCGCTGGCAGACCGGCAGACTGGCAGAACGGGCGAAAAAGGCGCGACAGACCCCAGAGGTGAGAATCAGAACATCGGCAGCGATCCCCATCAGCCATGCGCAACACATCCCAGGGCAGGCTCGGCCATTGGTCGGAAGGGTTGATTTCGTCTGAAGGGTGGCTCAGATTGGCTCGATTTGGGTGGGAGAGCGTGGCGGTTCAACTGCACGAGGGGACCATCAGCGGTTCTAAAGATGGGTCCTTGCAGGAGCAGCAACAGCAGCAGAGCAACTTTGTGGATTTGCATGCAGACGAATGGCTGTGGAGAGTTCAGGCGCTGGGAGAAAAAGCAGGTGCGCGCTTGGTCGGCGCTTAAATGCCTTACGAGATCCAGGTTGGTCATTGGGTGCTGAGGAAAGAGACCAATTAGGGTAGTCATGTGGAGGGCTTGGCGCCATAACCAATCGCATGCGAAGGCTGAGGTCTCGCCAAGCGATCGGGGTTGGGGCAATCTTAGGCCGAGATTCGAATTCGAAGTTTTGAACAGAGTGATTTTAAGTCTTCATTATCGGTGAACCAGCTAATGATCGCTTGTTGACGGCAGATTAAGCATTTGTCTATGTGCAGCCGAAGGTGACTATATGTAGGTGTTGTTATGCCTCCAACTCCAGACATCGAGAAGCTGATGTTGTGCCTCGAGGTCGCCGTAGGGCTGAAGCGGCCGATCAGCGGGGAAGATACTGGAGCCGCGGGTCTGGCAAGCGAGCAGTCCAGGCAAGCGCCCAGGGGGTCATCACTCTGTCAACCGAAACAAACATGCACTCCGACTTTTGTGTGATACACCGGAGTGCATACGAAGCCGAATCCGGCGCCAAATATAGAGCCTCTAGTTGCCCATGACGTCTTCTTACAATAGTTATCTTGCCCTAACGCAAGACAAGAATCCTTTTGCTCTTTTGGTATCTCATGTCCCTAGCTGCATTACAAACCATGATGGATCTCGCTCGTTCTTGCAACAAACTCTTCATAATCATATGGGCAATGTCATCTTGCCACCCATCATCCTATGAGCCGTCATTTAATTGCTGACGATATCCCCGCCGGAAATGGACGTCGTTAAGTTGCAATCTTGTATACTGCCACGCAAAGCTCATGCCCGTCCCCTCTCGCAGGAAGTATCCTTATTTGTCGCCCGCATTGGGCACATAGTCAGGGCGCGCCCGGCTCGACTTGATGACCTCCTGCACCTTCGTTTCCGTCGCATCCCAATCATCCGGGGCTAGCTGGACTAGGTCGAGGCCGTAATGGTCGGCAATCTTGGATAGCGCGTCGTAGCTCTTGCGGTCATAGACGAAGCTAATACTGACACCAACACGCCCGAAGCGCCCGGTGCGGCCAATACGGTGGAGGTACGTCTCCATATCGGGCTCCTTGTCTCCGGGTCCTTTCATCGGGATATCGTAGTTGATCACCATGGACACGCTGGACACGTCGATGCCGCGCGCCAGGACGTTGGTGGTGATGAGCACCTTGGAACGGCCTGACCGGAAATCGTCGAGAAGGGCGTCTCGGTTCTGGCCCTCGTGCGCACCGTGGAGTGCCGAAACCTTGTGCCCGTCTGCCTCCATGCGCCGCTGGATCTCGCTGGCGCTCTCGCGCGTCTGTGACAAAACCGTGAGGAAGGTAGACTCTCAAATATGAGGTAGCATAGACGTACCCTGACAAAGATGACCGACGAGCCAATCGTCATGAGGCCGTAAAGCTTGCAGAGAATGTCGTACTTCTTGCTCTCGTCCGGGCAATCCATATACATTTGGGAGATACCCTTGACTGTGAGATCCGTGTGACGAAGTTTGATCTCGTGGGCGTTGGTAGCATACTTCCGTGCAAAGATCATAACTTTTTCCGGAAACGTAGCCGAGAACAGAAGAGTCTGGATATCCTTCGGGAGCATCCTACCTTGAGTTAGTACACACGAAATTACGATTGAAATTTCAAGCACGTACCCCTTAACTCGGACGCACTGGTCGCCCATACCCTGCTGGTCCAGCATGTTGTCGGCCTCATCGATAACCATGATCTTCAACTGAGACACGTCGAATTGGCGGCGGCGAATCAGGTCCATGACGGTGCCCGGAGTTCCCACCACGACATTCGCCCGGACACCCGTCTCGCGCGAGATGGAGCCGGGAATGGCAGCCTCGACGTTCAGGTTCTCGCAGAACTGGCCGATTGTCTGGATGACGCTTTGAATCTGGCGCGCGAGCTCTCTGCTGGGTGCTAGTAACAGCGCCTGGGGCTGTGTAGGCTTGGTTAGATCGACGCGGGAGAGAACCGTGAGAACGAAGGCGGCCGTTTTGCCGGTGCCCGATTGCGACTGGGCGATCATGTTGCGGGGCGGATTGCTAAGCATGAGCGGCAGCGCCTTCTCCTGGATCTTCGAGGGCTTCTTGAAGTTCATGGCCAGCAGACCGTCATTGATCGACTTGGCAAGGCCGAGCTCTTCGAAGGAGGCGACGCCAGAATAAAGCAGGCTTTCATCGTCAGCTTGAAGGCCGCTCAATTTGACCTCGACATCATATGTCGTTTCAACCAGGCCTTTGTTGACGCCATCATCTACCGGCTCTTCGGTACCATTGCCCTCACCCGTGGTGGCGGTGGGAGCGGGGGCAACCGCATCGACGGGTTCGTCGCTGGGTTTCGTGATGCGGCTCGCCAGGTCCGCCATGATTACGATCGCAGTCGTCGGAAGAAGGTTGGACAAGGTAACGCAAATCGAGTTAAGTAGTCAAGGAGGCAGGCGCAGAGAGGAATCTTTGATGTTAGTCGCCGAGTAGGTAGCAGCTTCCGAAGGGTTGAAAGCAGTAGTGGGTCGGTCGAACTCGCAAAGCGAGCCGAGTCAATCATCGATACACTTACCTCCACAGCCAGTTTATGTGCTAACAGTAATGCGCGATGTATTTCGAAAAGTGGTGAAGGACCAAAGTCGGGAGGTTTTCCTCAGTCCCTTTGTGTTCGCATTTGGGAGAGGTAGAAGCTGGAGCTCAAACAAGTCGAGCAGGCGCAACTCTTGGCAATGGTGGGGCTTGGAGGTGGCGGGGGTACTTTTTTGTGCATGCCTGACGAAACAGGCTGCAAGGAGCTGGGAACCGACTTGGGACGGGATGATACGGTAAAGTCTTAAGTATTCGTAACGACGTGAGTCAAGACAACCGTTAAAACCAGGACAATCGCCATGCAAAGGCATTGAACTGTTGAGACTGGGGACGTCATTACGGGATTTATTTTACCTTTATTCCCAAAAGCTAAAACTCTATTGCGTATTTTGTGCCGATCTTCCCAGTTAGCGATACAGAGAGCTGGCTGCGAATATTCTCCGTCCTCACGATTCTTTCGTTGATTCCCGGTTCCTGGTATCGTGACACGCGTTGGGTACGGGCCTTGGCGACGTTGCAACGCCCGGGGTGGGCTCTAAGCCACCTCCCCAATTGGAGGGGCCGCATGTGTCCGCCATGCTCCTTCACCGGGCCGTGTCCCTAAATCCCCCGCAAATCGCAGACCCATCATCGCACCCCCCGGAGGCAGCCGTTTTGTATGATTACGTCCCTGTTTCTACTTTTCATGACCAGAGCCGGGGCTTCAAAATTTTGGGAAGCGCAAGGGAACCATGGCTGAGGTGGACGTCGCCCCAACGTTGGGCTCAGAGCTAAAGGTTCGGCCCCAGTTTCCAAACGGGATACCCGCGGGGGTTCCATGCGCTGACACGGATGGTGGTAGGATGGGTTCAAACCCGCGAGCGCCTGGGTCGCCGGGGGGATCGCCTGGCTCGATGATATCCAGTCCTTTTACCGCGAACGAAGTGTGATCGAAAAGGAGTACAGCGCCAAGCTCAATGCCCTAGCCAAGAAGTACTTCGAGAAGAAGACGCGGAAGTCGGCGAGCCTGAGTGTCGGCGACACCCCGACCATGACCCCCGGCTCGCTGGAAAGGTACGGTTCCTGGAATACCCAACAGACCTTATCCAGCCCAGAGGCTTACGTTGCGCACCCAGCGCATCCCTCACGACGTGGACAACGCACCTTACAACGTTAGAAGCACGGGCCGACGAACACGAACGCTACGGAAATGACTTGGTCGGTAGGGTGGCGGAACCCCTGAAGCAGATGTCGGTGCGATTCGAGGAGTTGCGCAAACGCCACGCCGAGTATGCCGAGAAGCTGGAAAGAGAACGGGATGCTTCATACGCCGACCTCCGAAAGATGAAAGGAAAATACGATGCTGTTTGCCAGGAGGTAGAGAGCAAGCGCAAGAAGACCGAATCCTCGTTCGACAAGGCCAAAGCGCAGAGCAGCTTTCAGCAGCAATTGCTCGACATGAACAATGTCAAAAACACTTACCTAATCTCCATCAATGTAACCAACAAGCAGAAGGAAAAGTACTACTACGAGTACTTACCCGAGGTCATGGACAGCCTTCAAGATCTCTCAGAATTTCGGACGGTCAAGCTGAACGGGCTCTGGACCCTAGCCTCCCAGCTTGAGGCCAACATGCTTCAACAGAGCTCAGGCCAAGTCGACCGCCTGGGCCAGGAGATCATACGAAACCAGCCGCACCTGGACTCGATGATGTATATACGGCATAACATGGGCGGCTTCCAAGAACCCCCAGACAAGGAATTCGAGCCGAGCCCGGTGTGGCACGACGATGGCGTCATGGTGGTCGACGAGGCAGCCAAGGTGTACCTGCGCAACCTGCTCAACAAGTCGAAGGGTCAACTAGGGGAACTGCGACGCGAGGCAGACAAGAAGAGGCGGGAAGTGGAGGGCTTAAGGCGGGTGAAGCAGAGGGTACGGGACGGGGCGGAGCAAAAAGATGAGGTGGCCGTGGTATCGCAGTTATTCGCGATGCAAGAAGACCTCCACCAGGTGGACCGGAAGCGTATCACGGTGGAAGTGGAAACATCAACCATCACGTCGGCGGTGGGTGATGTGACGCTGGGTGCGAAAAACCACAACTTCAAGTCACAGACATTCAAGATTCCAACGAATTGCGACCTCTGCGGCGAGAGGATATGGGGGCTGTCAGCGAAGGGCTTCGACTGCCGTGACTGCGGCTATACATGCCACAGCAAGTGCGAGATGAAGGTCCCGGCGGAGTGTCCAGGTGAGCAGTCAAAGGAGGAGCGCAAGAAGCTCAAGCAGGAGCGGCAGGAAGCCGCAAACTCGCTGCTCAAAGCCACCGGTGGGCCACCGGAGCATGTGGCCGAACTACCCACACTTGGCCGTTCCGACACGGTGACCTCCGGCACATCGGGCTACGCAGCAAGTTCACAACGGTCCATGACCGGGCCCTTGTCACCAGCTGAGGAAGTGCCCCCGGAAGTGCCGACGGCCACCCGGCCGACAAGCACCGGCCCCCCGCCCGCCGCTAGGAAGAATCGGGTCATTGCGCCGCCTCCGGCTGCCTACATCAGCGAGCTTCCGGGTAGCACCCCGAACGGCTCGTCGCATGGGTCGGAGCAGAGAGCCAAGATGCTGTACAGTTTCGATGCCGGGGGCGCGGGCGAGCTGAGCGTTCCCCGAGGGGCGCGAGCTTGTGATACTAGAACCAGACAGTAAGTGACCTCCCGCTCTTTCATAAATAAAGCACCCAATCAACCACCGCTAACCCTCCTCTTCCACAGCCGGCTCCGGCTGGGGTCCGAGTCCGGGCAGGCTATAAGGAAGGTCTGGTCCCGGCCAGCTACATCGAGCCGATCGCGGCCTCGGCGGCGCCTCCGCCGGCGGCCATCGCGCCGCAGCACACGGGGCAGTCGTCGTACTCCAACAGCGGCTCGTCGATAGGGACGGCCGGCAAGAAGAAGGGTCCCGCGGTGGCGCCTAGGCGAGGCGCCAAAAAACTCAAGTATGTCGAGGCACTGTACGAGTACGCCGCGCAGAGCGACGCCGAGCACAGCATGGCCGAGGGCGAGCGGTTCGTCCTGATCAAGGAGGACTCCGGCGATGGTTGGGCTGAGGTGGAGAAGGGGGGCGTCACCAAGAGCGTGCCCGCGAATTATGTGCAGGTGGTTTGATTCCGCACGTCTGGGGGGAGGGGGTGTGGCGGGTGGTAGGGTGGGGCAAGGTAAGAAACACGGGTCTGATCGGGCTTGGGCTAGCGGGGATTACCTAAGTAGAAGGGCTGGCTGGCATTTGGGAGGTCGAGAAGCATGCATGAAACGCAGCGATCGACTGCCTTGAGGGGAGAGTGTTAGACATACTGCAGGGCGTAAATATCAAGCTTGTCTTGGGGCAACCCAGTTGGCATTCGTTTCGGGAGTGGTATGCTGCGCCGCGGTTGGAACTGGGATGTCCTGATAATGGGAGGAAAAGAGGGGGTATGGGATATTGTCGACTCGTCCTGTCTCCAGCACGAGGGGAGAATGGCGTCGATAGTAATTTCTGCCCCTGAATATCGGTTTTGATCGTTTGTTTGTTTGTGTGTTGCCCAGTACCGCGTAGTCACACCCTGAAGGTAACGCAGGTCCTAGCAATGCGAACGCCAGGATGCATTGCAATGTGTATGATGATATCTGATCCGTCTCAGCGTATTAATATCCAAATGAAGAGCCGGAGCAACTTAAAAACATCAACTTCAACAACAGACGAGGTACTATCGGACGGGATAGATCCAGGGAAGGATCTGCTCGACTGTGGACCAACCCGGAGGTAAGGTATCCAATGCGGGTGGGTAGCTGCTGCCATGCTCTCTTTCCCATCTCGCCCATGATGGAGAACGGTAAACAGGTAACCGGTTTCTTGCTGGCTCGTCCTCTGGAGAAGCAGGGATGGTCCCTCCATCCTGCTCTGGTCTGCCACAGTGCCACACTGCGTCGAGTCTTTCAGGTTGATCAACTTCTTCCCGCAATCTCTCTCACGTTTCACGTCTCCTGCCTACCTTCCTTTTAAACCGTCACCATCATCTAGTTCACGCTCTTCTCTTCATCAACCGCAATCTAACATCGAAGTTGAAAACCTTCGTCTCCCAAAGCTTCAACAATTGTCTTGGCGTTGAACTTGGCATTGAACTTGGCGATCGATCCTCCCGCGCCACGATGCAACCTCTCGCCTTTTTATCCGTCTTGGGAGCCACTTTCGTTTGGCCTGTGGCAGCAAAACCGACAGAGACGCTGCCAGAGCCTCCCAGCAAGCGGGCGACATTGCCGACCGTCACTGTATCGGGAAATGGTATGGGATTTCTAACGGGAATTTAGACCGATGCAGAGGACCGTTACTGACACGGCGCGCACCAGCATTCTGGCAAGGCGACACTCGCTTCTATGTCCGGGGCGTAGACTACCAACCAGGAGGCTCATCGGCCATGCAAGACCCCCTGGCTGATACCGATATTTGTCTGCGTGATATCGCCCAATTCAAGGAACTGGGAATCAACACTATTCGCGTCTACACTACCGACAACTCGGCCAACCACGACGAGTGCATGAAGGCGTTGGCCGACGCTGGCATCTACGTTGTCATTGACGCTAACAACCCGCTTTACTCGATCAACCGCCTCGATCCTGCTCCGTCGTACAACACCAAGTATCTTCAGAGCATCTTCGCGTCCGTTGACGAGTTCATCAAGTACGACAACACCTTGGCGTTCTTCTCTGGCAATGAAGTTATCAACGAAAATGTCAAGAGCACGAAAGCCGCCCGTTATGTCAAAGCTGTTACTCGTGATATGCGTGCCTACATCAAAAGCCGCGGCTACCGCGCCGTGCCGGTGGGCTATTCGGCCGCAGACGTCTCTCAGAACCGCATGCAGCTTGCCCACTACATGAATTGTGGCACCGAAGACGAGAGGAGCGATTTCTTCGCTTTTGTGAGTATCTTGAGAGGGATGAAGCCTCCATGATCCGGGCCCTAACGCATACAGAACGACTATTCTTGGTGCAACACCAACTTCGAACAATCCGGTTGGGACCAAAAGGTCAAGAACTTCACGGACTACGGCATCGCCATCTTGTGAGCCTTCTCCCATCCACCAGCTTGCATTATCGCTAACCACATACTTGGTATAGCCTCTCCGAATACGGCTGCACAACCAACGGCCGCGACTTTGGTGAGATTGCAGCGCTTATGAGTGACAAGATGACGCACGTCTACTCCGGCGGGCTGATGTACGAGTACGCACTCGAGGCCAACGGCTTCGGAATCGCCAAGATCCCGAGCCCCAAGGCCAAACAGATCGAGAAGAAGGAGGGCTTCGACAAGTTTGCCAAGGCCCTCAAGCAAAACCCGGCACCCAAGGGTGACGGCGGCTTCACTTCGACCACGCGGGCCGTTGCGTGCCCGACCAAGGACGCAAACTGGCTGGTGGATAGCACGCTGCTACCTGCCATTCCCGAGGGTGCGAAGAAGGTATGGCCATTTTCATACATTCCTCTCTGAGGGTTTGTTAGTTCCTTGTCGCTAACAAGTGCCGCAGCTCATGTCAGACGGCGCCGGCACCGGGCCGGGCTTGAAGGGGGATGGCTCGCAGAACGCTGGCGAAGGAACGAGCACTGGTGATGCCACGCCTGGCTCAGGCACTGTCACCGCCACTGGCAGGCCGAACAATAGCGACAATGCGGCGGGTATGAACGCTCCGCCTGTGGAGAAGACACCGTTAGTTATCGCCGGGTTGGTGATGGCGTTGAGTCTTGGTGGGACCCTACTCTTGTAAGGGTGGCAGTAAGGGGTCTTCATATCGAGATCTGGGAAATTTATTTTCGTACTGTTTTTGATGGCCTGGAGGCCAGGGCATAGTTCCATAAGGTGATGCAGTAAAGTTAAAGAATGGGGGGATTTATTTATTCGGGGTAGGGGGGATCTTTTATGGACTAGGCTTAGTTGGGTTGGCCCCCAAGAGCGTCTACTTAAAAATACTCGGGATCTATCAGTCAAAATGTTCAGCTCCAAGATGGCAAGTGGTGTGTAATTCATGGTAGAGTTCATAGCCCGGAAGGGCCCTCAACGGCCGCTCATCCCATCTCTCTATTCATACCACAACCATCCTAAGACCAATCGCACACGTCCGCAATAATCATTCGCCCAACTCTCCACCCCACACCAGATCCACCTCATCGAAGCCCGCCCACCGCCACGCAGTGCCCATCGATATTAGCCACCACATTGCTCTCCTCCTCTTTCCCCGCCTCCTCCTCCTCCCCCTCAGCCCCCCTCTGCAACCGCACCACCCGCAGCGGGAATGGCCACGGTAATTCGGCACTACAATCTCGCTCCGGCTCGCCGCGTCGCACGCGATGTGGCCCGGGAACGCGTGCACGTCCGCCACCACCTGCGTCGCCCCCGTCGCCGCCGCCGCCCCGCACACCCCGCGCCCGAACGCGATCGTCTGGCACGCTACTTTGCCTTGGAAGGGGCCCAGGATCAGTTGCGGGCGGGAGGGGGGGGAGAGGGGGTTGAGGGTGTAGAAACCTGTTGGGTTTTGGGTTAATTTGGGGTTTGGGGGAGGGGGTGGTGAGGGGTGTTTGTTTTAGTAGGGGGGGGACTGACCGGCCCAGTTTACTTCGTTGCTTGGGGAGGGCAGGGATTGGTAGGCGTGCCAGAGGAGGGAGGCGACGTTGGAGAGGTTGCTGTGGTAGGAGGGGGTGATGTTAGTGTTGATCGGGGAGGATCTCAGGAGACTGCTCACCAAACCTGCAGAGTAGAGTGTTTAGTAATGGTGAACACCAATGATGCGGTAAGATGAGGAATAAGGCCCCAGAAGTAACAGCAGGTTCTAAAACGAGCTTATGGGGGTTCAATCTACGTACCCAATTCCGCTGCTCATAAAATAGACCTTCCGCTTGCATTAGGACCTGCTGGTAAGCCTCCTCCTTGGTGACCCCCTGGGCAAAATTCGATGCGTCTGCGTGGACCTATAAAGGCATGTCAGAGGCTTATCAATTATTATACGTGGAAAACACCAAGCTTGAAGTACGGACCATGTTTATAGAATGTATGAGTCGAGTTTGGGGATTTGGGATTCGGCTGTGAGTGTCCACTAAGATAGGTGTTGGAAGGGGATCACGAGGCCAACTAAGTGGGTATGACCGTTTAGTCTCTAATCTAGAATGTCTAGCTTGGTCCGATGTGATGTGAGTCTGGTGTTGTTGAGTGAGGCGTCAATAACGAGCATAGAAAATGTGAAATGGAAAATGTGAGAAGAGTGGAGATCTCACGATTGCGCCATTCTTGGGTCTCCATTTACGCTCACCCCGAAATACCTACCATCACAAATCCAAGGCAAGAAAGCAGTGCCATTATTCCCATTTCTATACCACCCAACCCTGCCTATTCAGGAGTTCTAGATTCTAAGGTATACTAACGAACGGGGTATACAACATAAAACAAACATGACATATTTACCAGCCCCTGAATCGGCTATTTCCTAGCCATGAACGCCAATGTCCAATATCACCCCTGACCATACCCCATTCCAAATCCCAAAACATTAAAAGAAAAGAAAAAGGAAAATAAAATCATGCGTAATTCCTCCCTGCTCCAACCGCCCCAGCTCTACCCGCGGTAAACGCGCAATGGCTAGCATCGAACCCACTCCCTTCCCTCACAACCCCCCACATGACCGGCTTCCTCTCCAGCCCCTTCTCCCTCGCCAGCGGATGACACCTCGCACTGATCACAGCACTACACGACCCAGCCGGCAACACCATCGGATTCCCCAGCATCTCCCCATTGACCAGCCCCGCCGGCGGCGCACGACGCAGCCCCAACGCCAGCACGCCAAGCGCGAGCACCACCAGCGCAGCAAGCAGCACCAACAACCCCACCCCACTCAACCCAAGACCAACCAGCCACCGAACCCCCCGCACCATCGCCGTCATCACTATCAGCGGGCAGCGCGTTCCGCGAAACGGGCACATCAACAAGGCGCACAGCAACAGCAAAACAGCTCTGGCGCAGCACGAAGGCCAAACCAGCAAAGAAGGCCATGAGCAGACCGGAGAGGGCGCGCGGGAGGGTGAGGTGGAGGGACGTAGACTGGGCGCCGACGGCGCGGGCCGAGGACGCCGACACGCGCAGGGGCCGGGCGGGCCCCGTGGCGAAGAGCGAGGATTCGTGCGACAGGTGGTAGGTGGTCAGGAGGGCGTTGGTGGTGAGGTAGAGGAAGGCGAGGAGGAGTTGCGGGAGGCTGGCGAGGACGGCGGCGGCGGCGGCGGGGGTGGCAGGTGGGAGGGACAGGAGGGCGTGCGCGGAGGTGGTGCCGAAGGGCGTGAGTTGGTTAGAGGGAGAGAGGGAGGTGGAGTAGCCGATCCCTGCGGCGGTGAGGCTGGTGCAGATGACCCAGAGGAGAAAGGCGCCCATCCAGCGGGGGAGGGAGACGCTGCGGAACCAGTAGTGGGTTTGGGGGACCCAGTATTTGGCTGCTTCGAGTGGCCAGCGGCCGCGCCAGATGTCGGTTTTGGAGAGGAGACAGGCTCCTTGCGTGGTTGGGTCGGGGTCTTCGAGGAAGGAGGCGATGGCGTCGCCGAGGGTGGCCAGTGGGCGGAAAGATGATGGGCGCTTGAAGAGGAGGGCGGCTGTGGCCACGAGGGCAATCGAGTTAAGGAGGGCCACGGTGCCGAGTAGGGGTGCGTTTAGGTTAACTTCGCAAGTCGGAGCGGGCGCGGGTTGGGCTAGGCAATAGAGGATAGAGGATCTCTCGGGGGCCAGGCCGCTGATGGGGTTCGTGACAATCCCGCCTGATTTCTGGGTGAGAGAGAGGGTATCGAGGTTTGAGACTAGGAGCACAGCGGAGTACTCCGTTTCGAAAGCTCCGCTGAACTGATCGATGCAAGTCGGGGTGGGAAGGCGGATAAGCTCGCCTCGGACCGCCTGCTGTTGAATGGCCAAGAGGTCGGGACGACTGAAGCCGGTGCTGTCATTCGAAATGTCGCTACTGAAAGCCGCGCCCCTGAGAAGCGCCTCGCTGACGATGGCGGCCTTGTAGTCGGGCGCCGTCTGCGAAACAAAGATTACAGCATTATACCTAGCTTTTCGGTTAGCCTTCCGGGTGCATATTCTTCAGCAAAACAACTCACATTATTTGCGTAAAGACCGCCGTCGCTAGAAGCACAACGGCTAGCAACGCGCGGCCACCCTCGATACGCCGAAGATTCCGCAACGACGGGATCCCAATATCCAACCCAACCCCCCCTCTGGTGCACCGCCTCTACTTCCTCCCTCGTCGGGCTGCTGAGGACCTGGAAAGCGTAGTTCGCGCCCCCGACCAAAACCACCACAAACACATTAACCACAGCATGCAGCCCCCAATCCACCGCCGCCGCGCTGCCACAACTCCCCTCGAAAACAGCCGACCCCCCAGCTCCCGCATTCACCCCGGATATCGCCACGACCAAACACACAAACCCCGTAATCAGTATCACCAACGTCGCCAACACAATCATCGCAACTCCCGCTCGCCACCCGCCTCCCCTCCAAGCCCTCCACCCCCCTCTCCCATCCCCTCCACCAACCCCACCGCCCCCAACATCACCCTTCTCCCCCACCCCCCTCACGCCCTCCCCAAGAAAAAACCGCTGCTCCTCCCCCACCCCAACCGGCACCCCCTCCCGACTATCCACCCGCCCCAGCTCCGCCCCAACCCACCCCAACCCATCTCCCGACCCAGACCTCGGCCTCGGCCCCGACCCAACCTCAAACCCTCCACCGCCCCCACCACCACCACTAACAGCACTCACATCACTAACCCCACTAACACCACTCACCCCACTCACCGCACTAACGAGAAACCCCTCAAAAAAATCCGCCACCTTCGACCGATGCAATGCACTCCGCCGTTTCGGGACCACCAGCTCGACGCCATGGTGTTGTGGGGTAGCCGTGCGGCTGGGGAGGTCATACAGCGCTGCCGCGGCTGCGGCGGCGGCGGCGGCGGCTGCTGGTGTTGTTGTTGTTGTTGTTGTTGTTGGTGGTGGTGGTGGTGGGGTTGGTGCGGGGGGAAGATTGACACAATGGGGCTTCAGATGCCATCAGATGAACATAGCAGTTCCCAGACAAACAACACAATAGTAAAAGAGAATTAATCTACCCAACGTCTCCCTTCGGAAAAAAGGAAAACATGTAAAAGTGGCTAACAATA